TTAAGCCATATATAATAGAAATCAGATAGGAAATAAGGGCAATATGGCCATTTTGTGACGGATTCATGGTCATCCCACATCCTAACAGTACGATTTGGTTCATATGACTCAATGCAAAGTAATATAGTCTGCAGGCGCATGTCACAACCAATACACACTGTCCAATCCAGTAATATATTAAGACCCATCACCATCTCTGAAACACTAGCACACATATTTTAAACTTTAATCTAGTTTTCAGTAACGAGAAACAAACCTGACAAACGATAGACTCACCTGAGTGAAGAATCTGATTTTGTTGTGTTGTGGCAACATACTGCACAACTGGTTGCTGAGCTAGACACATAAAAACATTGAACTTGGAGTTAACTGAATGAAATTTAAACTGGTCAACACATTACAGCACATACATATATGAAGATACACAATAACTTAGTTTTCCCTTATGATCATGCAGGTTTAGTGACACTGATATGGTTTCTGATCTCTTACCAGGTTGGGGATATTGCTGAGCTCCAGGTTGGGGATACTGCTGAACTCCAGGTTGGGGGTATTGCTGAACTCCAGGTTGGGGATACTGCTGAACTCCAGGTTGGGGATACTGCTGAACTCCAGGTTGGGGGTATTGCTGAACTCCAGGTTGGGGGTATTGCTGAACTCCAGGTTGGGGGTATTGCTGAGGGACTGGCTGTGCACTTTCCTGACCAACATGCTGAGTAGAAGAATGAGGTTGCTGCTGGGAATGTTCCTGATGAACAGACTTGGACACCAGCTGGTTGTCGTTCTCAGCAGCAGGATGATCAACGGGATTAGGCTGACTGGTGAGCACACTGGGGTCCAAAGGCGGGCCAGGATATGGTGGCGCTGGGATATCGGGAATTTCTAAAGTACCTTCAGTATCTGGAGGAGGTCCTTTACCTTTTTCCATTTTATCTGTCAAAAAAGTAAAAAAAATAAAATAAAAAATATGATAGCAAAGTGTATAATATCAAATATGTCCAGGGGTTCTTCTGATGACTTTCATTGAAGAAGCAGAAGTAAACTGTGACAGCAAGCTTGTCAAAGGCTAAAGATAAAAACAGGGCTTGAGTGCAGCATGGAGGAATGCATGAAAAGTTGTTATTCAGGTTGGGGCGTTTAAAAGTAATGCTTGACTTCTTTCCAAAACAAAACTCACTGTGTACGTAACTTGGCATTCTCCAAGAGTATCATCTGACAAAAATAGGCCTTGGGATACCTATCTAAACTGGGCAGGTAAAATTATTTGCTGTGTCATTTTAATGTATTTATACTTTCAAGATGCCTTTTTGAGTCACCTACGATGCAACAACAAATTTTAGTAAATCATCTAGTGGTTTTATGTGGTAGAACAATAAAATGTAGTGGAATGAGGTGTGACATAAGGCAGCACAAATAAGTAGGAAAAAGACCTGGTTGCAAACTTTTTGAAGAATAAAAAGCTTGAAAGGCCCTTGTGTAGCTCCTCTCTCTGCCTCTCATAGAGAAAGTATGTATGTAATACCCCTTTAGATTCCTCATCAAGAAACAGAAGGAATATGGTACATGTGTAAATCTTCTCAGATCGGGCCATCCTTACAAGCTGACACTATAAGACGGAGACTACTGAAAGAGGCCACCTGGACTCCTTTGACTAAGCTGAAGAAGTTAAAAACTTCAGCAGTCAAGATGAGAGAGACTCTGCATACATTCCCTGGGGTTGGTTCCAGTCGAAACTTTATGGGAACATGGCAATGAGAAATCCCCTGTTGAGGAAATCTCACATCGAGACTCAAGGAGACTCCAAGATCAAGTGAAAGGAGGAGGCCCTTAAAGACCCGTAGAGGTAGAAGGTAAAAAAATAATAAGTCCAGCAAAATATAGGGAAATCTTGGGGCACAATTTGTTTCCATCTGCAAGAGAACTACGACTTCGGAGAACTTTTTTTTTTAATTTTTTTTTTAAGCAAGACAACAATCTGAGGCATCCGGTTGAAGCTATACAGAAGTGGTTTGAAGACAACAAGGCAGATGTTCTGGAATGGCCCAGTCAAAGTCCCAATCCCATACATAAATTGTGGCAGGACTATTGCTGTTGATTGTTGACAAACAGCACCCCTCCCCATCTTTGTCACAGTGGACAGTCCGAATGTAAGTTCTGGGAATGAAAGAGGTGCTTTCCACTCAGCTTAACCAGTTCAACAGGTGAAATGCTGACTCATCGATAGGCCCCAGCAGGATGCTTGTTAGCTGAGTCATTTTAACCATTGTTCTTTTTCAGCACAGTTATTTCTGTTCATTTTGATGATGTCAACAAAAAAAAGGGAACAGTCTGGTAAGTCTCCTAAGTCTAAGTCTGGTATTTTCTACCACTTTAGGAAGTGAGTCTGTGTGGATAGCTCTTAATCAGGCTTGCACTTCTGGACATTAAAATTCTACAACATTCTTTCTTGTAAAGTTCGTTCATTTGTCATGTTTTTTCCAAAATTATATTTTCACCATGTTATTTATTCAATTGTAAAATGTCACAGTTCCAAACTCTATCCCAGATTGTATCTAGAAACAATGGACGAGCCGTTTTAAAGGCAATGCAAACATTTACCATAAACAGCAGCTGTGACTGTATTAGCACTGAAGCAATATAGAAGTTTGGAAGACTCAGCTTTTATTTTGGTAGTCCACTTCCACTTAACAAAACAAGAGAATATGCATATTAGCTCAATACTTAGCTGTGAGAAAAACTATTTAGTTTGCAGCTGAATGTTTGGTTTGTGAACTAAATATTTATAAATGTTGGAACTGTGACATTTGGAAACTTAACATAGTGAAAATATGTCTTTGAAAAAAAAAATGGACCCCGATTTATTTTATTGGACAAAATAACCTAAAATATTGCTGTTACTTTTTTCAATGTGTAACTTTATAAACAACATCCCATAGGGCTGGAGATGTTGTTTGCAGAACTTGCATGTAATGTGTCATGTTTTTATTATGAAGTGAATGTAAAGGATGCAAGCGGTTACACATAATAAAAAGGAAAGCAAGTCAAAACATCCCAAGCAGCCTGAGATCGCAGACCTTGTTTAACCTGTCCACCACCTGTTTTATGAAAAGCTTATGCACTGCGATCTGTTTTCAGACAGCTGTTGAATCTTCTCCACACTGAAAGAGTTTTTGCCCTTCAGAATTTACTCCATATGCATCATAGGCATTTCTCTTTCACAATGATAAATGCATGTGCTACTTTACTTGTAGGAAACATGTGCCTGCTTTAACTTTATGTTAAGGCATGTATGCAAAATTAATGGATTACAATATTATTGAGAAGGCAATTTGTGTCAGTAGCTCAATTCACCTTGTTACACATAGAATGGTGTTTTTAAAGCTTTATTTATGTTCATTATGATGTTTTCCTGCTTACAGCTTATGAAAACACAATAAGCTAAGAATATAACATCAAACAAATAAAAACCTTTGCAGACATGAGACGTTATGCTCAATAGCTGCTTAAAGATTAATTTAAAAAGTTACCTTTAATCTGTATGTCGTAATTCCAGAAACAACTGAATTTTTTTTACTTATTGTTATAATCTGGGATAAAGTGAGCAATACACAGCACTGTTGGTGTATTTTTAGTGTCTTCTCTTAATCTGTATTTTCTAGGTTTTCTCACCTTTGGATGGATTTGCTGAATGTCTTGAAAGACGGTCAAGAGGAGTCACAACAACCAGAGCGTCCTATTTATCTGATGATGAGCAATTGCTAAGGTGAAACGCACACTGTTGAAGTAAAAGGTGGTGCAACATAACAGGCATGCAGAAGTAGGTGTAGCTTCTTTTAAAATAACTTCAACAAACATCCTGCGGCCAAGTGCAGATTTGTAAAGAGAGGTGTAGACTGACCTTAGTTTACCTTTTGTTTTTTCTTGGCATTTTGTATGGGGAGAAAAGATCTTGAACACATTTTTTAGAGTGGCAAAGTAATTAGACACATTTTAACCTTGTTACATGTTGGATGCAATTAAAAAAACAGGACAAGGAGATAAAAATCAATAAAAGACAATTTATTTAAAGACATTTACACTTAATCAGGCTTCCCACAGATGATTTAAGGATTAGGCCAATTGGGACAGGAATGAGTTAGAAAACAGAACTAAAAGTGTAAAGAAAGTTCTCACTATAAGAGTTTAGATCGAGCCTTCGAAAATTCAGCATGGTCCAAGCCCAAAGTAAAACCCTACATATTATTGAAAAGTCAGACTTCTATCTAGCAGTTGAACTTTTTTTCCCTTTTGTTTAACGTCTTCTAACTCTGTTTTGTTGGTCCTGATCAATGTCATTGATAATACAACTTCCCATGTTTTGTGATCATTAAGCTTTCTTTCATTTAGTGTTCTTTTCAATATATTCATTTTCAGAGGACCCACGTGTTCTGAACGCAAAAAGAGTGGGTGTAATACTTGCATCTGGCCACTTGATGGTGACATTCAGCCATATTGTTGAATGTCAGATAAAGGAATTTCCTTTTTTTTTTTTTTTTGTAAAAATAGGCCCAACAATGTACCAAATACAAGCAGCTCTCAATTAAAGAACTTTGTACAGTGCAAGAAGACTTCAATGAACAGACAAAATAAACATTTCAGATATTCTGAAGGACATTTTTGTAGATATTACCTTCTGATTCATGATTCATTACAACAATAATCAAATGTTGCACTATTTGAAGTAAGAGAAATCTACTTTTGCAACCAGAACCACATTCTCATATCAACGGTTAGTGTCCAACTTAATCACAGAGTAATAATTAGATTAGAGTAATAATTGTTAAGGAAATGGTAGCAGAACAAGATATACTCTAATGCTGAATGATTACAGAATTATTTTTAAAATATTAAAGGGTTAGTAAAAATATAGACTTATGTTGACCTTCATCAAGATGTGTTTTAAATATTTTTTACATTACTTTAAAACATTAAGTAATGTTTTAAAAATATTTGTATATCCTTTATATGTCAAGGTTATTAAAACCAACTTGGATGACCAAAGCTTTTCTTTAGGACACAATGAGGGAAAAACTTTCTTCCAATCTTAAGTTAAAAAATAATTTGTTAACAATGAGACACCATAAGGAGTAAAACATCAATAGTTTGTTAAAAGATTTCAGGGAAACCTAATAAACGTGTTTATTCTACAGTCCACTTTTAAAGGAGGTTCAGCAAAAAATTTCAGTAACTGTGATTTAGTGTTGGTCACATGCGACGGTAGACGTGCAGGACGTTGTTGCACTGCGGGCAGGAATGCTGCACATCCTTGCAAGCACTAACGCAGAACGGGATCAAACAGCAAGGCCAACACCTGGACAAGGAATATGATCAAAAAAGACAGAACGATAAGACCACTCGACTCATAAAAAGTTAACTGCTTTGAAAGTGCACCGTCTTTATCTGTACTCTACATTCTCATGTACTGAAAAAAGCAACCGGATAATGGTCCGAACATGGTCAGAACATTTTTTACCGGCCACTGTTTTTTTTTTCTTTCACTTACTAACCCCACCAGTACATGCAAATTATATAAAATATATGATTTATTCTTAACTCTATGAAGATTCACTGACAATAAGTTTACCATGCGTATACAGATTAATTTAACATAAAGCATGGATACCTTAACAGAGGTGTATAAGTTCACTTGAAGTAATTAATAACAGCAAACTTTAACTACACAACCCTAAAATTCTTGCAATCATTTCCTATGTTGAACATTTCCACATTTTGGCTGCAACTCCCCCAGACGGTATTTATTGAACATGTCTAGTCATTTTTTTAAAAACACTTTTAAATGGTATTAATAGCTGTTTTCTAACTGTTCTATTTGTTTTCACTTACTTATTACGTTTTCTATTGAAATTCACAATTAGTCTTATTACTAAACTATCTCAGAACGTCTTCATTATTAATTCCATGGGCCATCATTATTTCTGTGTTATTCAAGTGTTTATCTGACTACCTGCTAGCTTAGTGTAGTTTCCCCCTCCCAGACTCTCTCACACACACCTGCTATCCTGCCTGCATGAAACGCTCCCTCATGCACATTTTCACTTCGTACCAGGTAGCAGCAGCTAATCTGAACTCTTCCTCAATCTGTCCCTGGTCACGTCTCTCTCATCATCATCCTCCGACGATAATGAGTCCCCAGAATCGCTAATTCCCCTCCTTCTCAGCTACTGAACCCGCTCCAGCGGGTTAAGTTTGTGTGGTAAACTTATCGGTTAGTTTGTCACATTTTTCTGAATGGGCTTATGTACTTTTTAGCTTTTGTTATTGTAGTTTTGCTCACCCGCTCCGGGAATGACGTTATTTATAACCTCGGAGGGGAGGGCCCAAGGAGGACAGAGGGATTTCATTGGATAAGCCCAATGTCCGTCAATAAAATCAACCAATGTGCTGTCGCGGTCGATAAAAACGATATTAAATAGTTTTGTTGTTGTTGTTGTTAAATTATGACAGCGTAGGGCCGCTGTTCTGTCAGATCAGCATACGTTGTCAGATACGCTTAGCTCAGACATGTATTCGCTGTCATTACCATATGATTTTATTTAATCAGCAACATAGAATCATGACGTACATCATCATACGCATCCTGACTTAGCGGTTAAGTAGGTTAATGAGTTTTACACGGGCGTGTGTTGTAGTTGACTGCAGCTGCAGCTAGACCTGCTTTAAATACACTTTGAAACAACGACAACGGATATATATCTATCTAGTTATCATATTATATCATATTATAAACAATTTAATGACTTATTTTCGTCATAACTTGTTGCGTATGCTGAACTGACAACGTATACTAATCTGACAGAACAGCGGGTGCTAATTTCAACCTCTGACACTGACTTTATTTGTATTTTGAGTTATTACTGTCCTCCTGTGGCTGCAAGGGTGGCAGCACTGCTAAACCGGTTGGCTAGCAAAGAACACTTCAATACTTAAACTGTTTACTCACCCAATAATAAACAGTGTTCCAACAATGATCCAAGTGAGCAAGCCCAATTTGTATTCAGTTGCGGTCACAACGGTGGTCTTACAGTGTGGACACAACATGCTTCCAGGAGCCTCGGTTGGTCTCGCTTGCACCACCACCACAGNATTTAAACCAAAAAAAACTATCCCCAAATGGGAAAAAATTTGAAGGGAAAAAAAAAAAAAAAATTTAAAAAAAAAAAAAAAAAAAAAAACAAGAAACAGAAAGTGAAACTTTTTTTTTTCAGAACTAAAACTGTCAAAAATGTCACTATTACAGTTTAGATGGGACCTTCAAAAAATTTAACATGGCCCGAGTCCATTGACATTGTCTCTGAGCCAACGTAAACAATACGTATTATTTTAAACTGCTACTAGTGGGTACTTCAAAACTTCTGACTTTCCAGTAATGCTGGTGAAATGGAGGCAAACAGTAGTCTGTAGCTAAGCTAACTATGCTAAATGGTTGCTAATCTCACAGTCTATCCTCTTGGAGAAAATCTGGTCTACAAATTTTCACTTGTCTTTCTTTCTCTCTCCTTTTGAAAACCTGATTTTATTGCTTTTCTTGGCAGCATAGCAGTGGCGGTGCTATGCAATTAAATAAACACAAGTTAATTTAAAAAAAACAAAACAAAAAAACAAAACAAATATGACAATATGACCCTTTGCACTGTCTTCACCAAGATGGATGTCCAAACCTATGCTCTCATGTATAAAGCCTGTCAAAATACGTACATGTGGTAGCCTAATATCGCTTTTATTTAGTTGATTTCGCAGTAAAATGGTCACAAGGTGCTGTGCGGTCGGCTGCACAAACAGACAAGGGCCAAAACCAAGCTTGTAATTTTATTTTAATGAGGAAAGATGGAGCGATGGATAGTAGCCATCAATCATAATGACCGGCAGCTCTTGGTGTAACCACGGATTTACAGCAAACACTTTATACAAGGTAAGAAGATTAACGTTCATATACTTTATAAGTATGATTAGAAAGATATCAAATATCGCATTATGGAGAAGGTACGAGTCTAACCATCAGTAACCATGGAAACAATGCCACGCAGTCATGTAGCCTAGCATGTATGGAGAAAAATGAGTAGCGTCTTGTCTTTTGTACGTTTTTAAGGCTGCTCCGGTTTAAGGGGAAACGCTGTTTATGACATAGTGACATAAATCATGTGGTGTGAATTCAGGCCAAGTCGGTAATTTGATCAACACGTCAAGCGGTAGGAGGTTCGGGTCGGGTTCTAAGCTACCTGTAAATACCGCTGTCTATGAGCCCCAACCAAGTGTGTTACGTTCACAGACAAATTAACTCGACTCTAACAAGTAGAAACCACAAATAAAATGACAAAAACAACTTGAAAAACAACATTAGCCGCTCAGTTTAATACTCCCGATTCTCACTTCCGATGTACATCATGGCGCTTCGAATGATTAAGTGACGTAGTTGCAAAGGGTCAATACTAGGGTATCCCCTTTGTCACAAATGCTGTTTTAACCTAAACAATGTAATATTATCTGGAAGTAATCTGGCTAACAACTCAAAGCTTTAGACCAGGGGTGCCCAAAGTCGGTCCTTGAGGGCCGACATCCTACATGTTTTAGTTTTCTCCCTGGTGGTAGTAACAAACTTCTCAGCAAGTCAATGTTCTTCTTAGGCTTCTAACGAGCCATCATTTGATCCAGGTGCGTTAAACCAGGGAGAGAACTAAAACATGCTGGCCCTCATTTTGGACACCCCTGCTTTAGACTGACGTCTAAGCGTCAAATAAATGCAAATCAGTCTGAACAATAACAATACTAATGTGTGTGTGTTGATAACTATAGGGGAAAAAACATCCGTCAAAGCACCCTCAGTAAAATGCCTAGCTCCCCCTTAGCACCGGCAGGAAAAAATTTTCTGGAGCCGCCACTGCAGCATAGTAACTTCGGGGAGGGAGGTTGGTTCAGTGCAAATATATGGATGTGTGCTTTTTGGTATGGGAGTGATAACGTTTTTTTTTTGTTTGTTTGTTTGTTTTTTTACTGCTAAAAACAATTTAAAAGCAATTTAACATGAAAGTCCAACTTAATAAACATATTTTCAGTCCGTGACTCGGCACTGAGCTCGCTGCTAGCAACATTAGCATTTTGGGGAATATCAAGCTAGAGCATAAAAATAATATATCTTACATTACATATGAATGCTGGTCCTTCTTAGTAACTGTCCAATAAAATATCTGAAAATACAATTTAAACGATGCCATTGTTACCTGTTAGAAAGTGGCGCTGCAAACTCCGGCATTGTTCGTTTTCACACCGCCTGTTTTTAGCGTAGATTGTTGATCCACTTTTCTCCTCTTTTTTCTGTAAGTCTTTTAAAATTAATTCCCTTGTGACCAACTACCTTCTTTATTTGAACGGTTGGAACAACCATAGAGGACACAGACTTTAGCCATTTTGATGCTGGATCAACATAAGTAAACGGGCTGCATTTACTTCTTGCCCTCCGTCTGCGTTGGATGACGTCAGAGCTATGTCATCTGAAACCCAGCAATATGGCGCCAATGACTAGGTGTATCAGTCAACCAAGATATCTCTAATTATATCTAAAATGTATTTTTAGATAGTTGTTTATTTGACTTGTCAAATTAAATTGCAGATATCTTCAAAGCACATAATGACTAGGCAAAACTAAATTTGAAATATCTGGAATTATAAGTTTTGCTTGTCCAAAATCCTTATGGGATATTTCCAAATGAAGAGAGATCTTTAATTAGACAGATTTTCTATGTGAGATATGAATTAACATTTTGACTCGCCAGAATGACTTTATTGATATCTTGAATTTGTACTCTGTCAAGTCAAAACATCTTATGTAGCATTTTGGAAGTTCAATAAAAAAAAAAATAATAATCAGGGAAGAAAAAACACACACAAAATGTTTTGAAAGCGCTTAATTTTCAGCTTTAGGAATGGGTTGACAATAGCACTTTTATTTTTTCAAAGCATTAAGCCTTTGTCTTAATCAGAGGTGAATAAACATGAAATTAGCAGTTTTCTGAAGCAGTCTTCAAGTGCATAAAATTTTGCATTTTCCTATCCAATACTTCTGCACTCTTGAGCCAAGTACTACAGTTTAGTACTTTGTAAACCACTTTTTTTCATATAATCATTTTCTTTGCAACCAGAGGACCCACGTATTCTGAACACATACAGAGTGTATGTAATGCTTGCATCTGGCCACTTGATGGTGACATCCAGCCATAATGTAAAATTTTACATGTCTGAAAAAACATCCCACTATTCATTTTCACTTTTTTTTTCTTTTACTCTAAAATGTTGCTGTCATGATTTTTCTCATGGTGTTAGGATAAATATTGAATGAAGTAAACTGTAGTTTGACACTACTAAAACAAATACTCTACACTGATCACTGATGACAATATATGTATTTATTTCAAACTGGTGGCAATTTTGTATGTATCGGTTTTACATCTACAGTTAATCAAACCTGTCTCCTTCCCGTGATAATATGTAGACCTGTGTCTCATGTGTCCATATTAACCTCTTTTTTTGTTATCACATAACAGAATTGATGTAAGGTCTGCCTGTCATGCCACAACAATATTTTTCATTTTCATTTTTCAAGCATTTTTCAAAGGAATGCATGTCAGTGTGGGCTCAGAAAATTTCAGCATAAAGCTCTATGAGGAATGTATTACATTTTATTATGTTTATTATGTCATTACATTTAGTCATATAAAGTAATGTAGTATTTATTTTTTGGTAAAATAGACCTAACAATCTATCAAATACAAGCCTTCCCCCACACACACACACAGGTCTTTCCAGGGAAATTGTATTTTCTGGCTGTCACAGTTTTGTCTCTTCTACTTAAAGAAACACAATTTCTTATGACATGATGAACAATATTATCTTTAAACCAAAACACCAAAGGCAAGAGTCTTTAGTTAACTTGACAAAGGCAGAGCCTATTTTTGGACTGTAAGGGTGATATGTCGGCCACATGATGAAATGATCAAAACACTCCCTAAACATTTTTTTAGGAAGTTCAGAAGTGTTATTTCCATGACAGCATCAATTCTTGTAGACTTTGGGGATTGTAGTTTTACAGTGCAGCTCTCCACTAGGCTCAAAAAGAACTTTGTACAGTGCAGGAAGACCCTAACCCATAACTTCACATTATAATTTAAAAATGATTGTTTTTGCTCAAAGCTTTAATGCATTTCAGAAGAATTAAAAATTTAAAAGGTTCAGCAACATGTTCAGTAACTGCAGGATTGACCACTGTGGGTCACATGCGACGGTAGACGTGCAGAACGTTGTTGCACTGCGGGCAGGAATGCTGCACATCCTTGCAAGCGCCCACGAAGAACGGGATCAAACAGCAAGGCCAAATCCTGGATAAGAAATATTATTTAAAAAATAACAATAATAGTAAAACCACTCAACTCATTCATTCGAAAGTGTGCAGTCTTTGTCTGTATTCTCCATTATCGTGTAGTGCAAAAATCAGATAACGGTTCCAGTTTCTCCTCCTGCTCTGTCTCCTTCTCCTCTCCCTCCACATCCATTTCCTTCTCTTCCACCTCACTCCTTCTCTGACAGGCATCGTCCTGTCGCTCAGTTACAACCACAGCTGACAGTGTCCTTGTTTGCTACTAAACAGCAACAATTATCAACTTTTTAGTACTTTGGCAAATAATTCATAGTCAAGCATAAACACAAAACAGAAACCAACTTCAGAAAAGTGCTAAACAATCCGGGAGTCAATCACTGACATTATTTGTATTTCTCTTGATCTGTTAGTTTGGCACATTTGCCTTCACTAATTTGTTTTTTTTTCTCCCAGTTTTCTCCCTTTATTATAAAAGCTATCAAACTGACCCAGCTATCACTGTCCTCCTGTGGCTGCAAGGACGGCAGCACTGCTAAACTTTATAGGGGAAAAAAACTTTATCTGACCACAGTTCAACCTGCACCAAACTCGTTGTTCGTGAAACATGAAACTGGCAAAAAGTAGTTCAATATTTTAACTTTTTACTCACCCAAATATAAACAGTACTCCAGCTATGAGCCAAGTGAGCATGCCCAGTTTGTATTCAGTTACGGTCATAACTTTGGTCTTGCAAAACTGACACATCATGCTTACAGGAGCCTCAGTTGGTCTCACTTGCACCACCACAGGGTTTGCTGTCAATAACACTTTGTTAATGTTTGAGCTCCTTTACATATATCTTTAAACTTTAGACTCAACTTCAATGAAAAGACACAAACTGAGAAAGTTACTCACCAGGTTGAGTGGCCTGATTTTGCTGTACAACTGTTTGATGAACTAGAAGTATAAAAACATTGAACTTGGAGTTAACTGAATGAAGCATAAACTGGTCAAGATTTGGAAAAGAGACAAAGACTGGAGGAAAAGGGGTGAAATTATATTGAAATGCAGAATAAATAACAACGAAGATGGCCTCTGATCTCTTACCAGGCTGGATATTTGGCTGAGGAGCAGGTTGCTGATATTGCTGAGCAACAGGTTGCTGATACTGCTGAGCAACTGGTTGTTGATACTGCTGGACACCTGGCTGGGGATATTGCTGAGCAGCAGGTTGCTGATACTGCTGAGCAGCAGGCTGGGGATATTGCTGAGCAACAGGTTGGGGATATTGCTGAGCAGCAGGTTGCTGATAGTGAGAAGCAGCAGGCTGGGGCGCCACACTGGAGTCCAGTGGTGGACCAGGATATGGTGGTGCTAACATTTCTGGAATAGCTGCAGTATATTTAGGAGGTCCTTCACCTTTGTCCATTTTATCTGTCAAAAAGTAAAAAAAAAATCATGATGGCAAAGCTGTAAAATATCAGATGTCTCCATCAGTTCTTCTGATGCCTTTACGTGAGGAACTAAAATATGACGCCGAGCTTGTCAAGTGCCAAAGATAAGAGGGAAGAAAAGAATGCTTGAAAAGTTGTCTGTCAGGTTGGAACATTTAAAAGTAATGCTTGACTTCTTCCCTGAAAAATACTCATTGCATACATAATGCAGCATTTATACTTACTTTGTAAGAGGATGGACAGACAAAAACAGGACATGAGACACTGGTTTAAAGTGGGTTGGTGCATATATATATATGTATATATACACAGATACATATTCCATGTTATATTTTGAGGAAATGTACAATGATGTAAAAAGTTTTAGAGATACATAAGATTAAACCAGCATCTTGTCATCATGCCACCATCTTGCCTCTCAAACTGGTTCGGCGCAGAAAACATCTGTTTTACCCAAAGTATGTACATTGTGATAAGGGTTACTGATAATAAAAAGAAATGCACCCGAAAAGAAACCAAACAGCCAGAGATTGCTGACCTTTTTGAACCAGTCCACATTAAAAAGAAGTCGCCTCCTGTTTAAACATTGTCATCTGTTTACAGACTACTCCCAACGCTTCTCCAGACTAAAAAAGGTTTTTGTTTGCCGCATTGAGTTGGTTCCAGAGCTTGCCTACCTGTTGACGATCAGTGCCAGGGAGTCAGGTTAATAATAGTCTGTCAAAACTAACAAGTT